TGTATTACACAGGTAGATAGAGATAAATGAGAGATACAGATAGATGAAAGATATATATTTCTATATGAAATATTTAGGTGACATTTGATCACTGTTTCATCCAAATGCCATCTAGTCAGAACTTGACATTATTCTTAGCTGGGAATAGTAAGATATTCTATATTCTGAAATAATTGGTAGCATAAAGGATTATTGACTTCAATGCTAATTGTAACATCCTAGAGAGTTGTTGAAATTTGTCTTTGTCTTTGTAGGTAACTTTCCTTGAAGAAGTTACTGAGTATTATATAAGTGGTGATGAGGATCGCAAAGGACCATGGGAAGAATTTGCAAGGGATGGATGCAGGTTCCAGAAACGAATTCAAGAAACAGAAGATGCTATTGGATATTGCTTGACATTTGAGCACAGAGAAAGAATGTTTAATAGACTCCAGGGAAAATGCTTCAAAGGACTTCATGTTTTCAAGCAATGTTAAGATGAGTTGACAGCCTGTAGTCCTAGCATACACTACCTCTTACCTGAGAGGTGTCTTTTAAAAACAAATCTTGGCAGCTGTCCTTTGACATTTTTGTTTGTTTGTTTTAGAGGAAATATAACTTGGTTCTAGTTTAATTTTTTTTTTTTTTTGCAAATATCCCACTCCAAAACATTCAGGTTTGAAGCCAGCCCTAAAATGAAGGATTAACTAGCATTTCTAATCCTCCCTTTTTGGATTTAGTTGGATGTGCTTCTTTTTTTTTTTTTTTTTTTGGATGTGCTTCTAAATGTCCTTTGCTTGCTTGAGTGAAAAGGGGACTTTTTGAGTTATCATTTTGCACTTTCAAAACTTATTTTCTTGGAAAACGATATTTATAGGGCTTAAAACCCGTTTTCATTTCTAATCTAAATTATGTATGCCTGTCTGAAAACTTTGGGCTCTTTTTTGTTTCTTTCCCCAAATTCAGAAGTTAATGGGCTTTGATGTTTTTCTATATATTTTTTTTTATTTCAATGATTTGGCCTATCTACCTTAGGCTAAAAAAATAACCTTGTGTATGCTACCAACTTAAAGTACATTATTTAGTGTCACTTTTTTTTTTTTCTTGTAAAAATGACTTGGGTTGAAAATATATTAAGTTCTACCTAGGAAATTTCCAAGGACTGCCACAAAACTGGAATGTGCAGTACTTTACTACTTTGGGAAAGCTTCATCTTTCTACCAAATTTTAACATCTAATGTATTTAATTTCTTTGTAAACTGTTCTTTAGAGAGGGTTCTGTATATGTTTTTGTAGTTCCCAATTTAATATAGTTCTTTGTATCTCTTAACAGGTTGACGTTGTTGCAGAACGCTCTGGAAAGTAATAGTTACATCACAAGCATTTATTTTTTAAGCTTAAAAGCCTAGAATTTTCCTAGGAAGAAAATAGGAGACATCTCAGAGTAATTTGATTTTGGTATATATGCTCTCAACAGAAAGCCAGTGTTAATGAATAGCATGCCTCAGCACAGTCACTTTGAAAACTGTCAGGACGTCACTGTAAAATTGGAAATGGGCAGTTCTGAATTTTCACATTTGAAATGTAAAATATAAACTTCAGTCAATATCCAGGTTTATTGTGTCCTATTTAATAATGAGAGAAGTAACAGCAAGGCTTTACTTTCAGGAAAGAAGTATAGATTAATGACTAGACAGTCTTAATATGTTTAGCCCAAAGTTTCCTTTGAAGCCTTTGCATTGACTGGTTGTGTTTGGTTTATTTGTTTAGCTTTACAAAGTACGCACGAGTTAGGTTGAGGGATTGTTAACCAACTCTTCAGTGGACTGCTTTCACTCCGTGTGCTTCCTATCAGGGAAAACACAAGTAGAATAGGTGACCTCTTAGTTTTGAACTTACTTTAAGTGTGGGGATGAATTTTTCATCAGAAGTGCTCACAGGGTTACTACCTCAGTTTACAATCTACCTGGTCATTATTTCTATCTGGTTTGTTCTAAGAACTGCCTCTAGTGTTTATATATTCATACTTAAACACATTGAGAATGCAACACCATAAAAGTTGGTCAGAGTTTTGCAGAGCCCTTACTCTGTGTGTTTTGTGCACCTCCACTTCAGGTAATGATAGGGAGCACATTTACAGGCTGGTCTAATAACATGAAAACAGGCTAGTGTCAAGCACCAACTATGTCAGTTGGAAAGCAGGCATCATTTGCCTAGAAAAAAGCTTTTTGACAGCATGTAGGCATTCTTTTAAAACCAAGCTGAAGCATTTTATTTCCGAGACTTATGTTGTGTTTCCTGTTTCTGAAACCTAGCACCTCTGCGTATTTGAAAATAATGAGACATCTTTCATTGGATTTTGGGAGATTGTTCTCATGGGATTCTAACCTCACTACTAAATGACTAAAAGCTTGATTAAGAATTCTTCCATATACTACCCTCCTTTAGGAGAAGTGATCAGAAGGTGAGAAGGACAGAAGGGACGGTTTTACAGTTAGACTGAAGGAGAAAAAAGCTGAATTCTTGTTAGTTTCATCCCAATTCTAGTTGTTAGAACAAAGTTAAACCCCCATAATCTTACAGAGAAAATCCTTGGAGGTTTTAATTAAACATTTTACACATTTATAATCTTGTTAATGGTGCTTTAAGTGTCAATGTAGCATGTAAAAGGCTTTGTACAGACAGGTAAAAGTTCCATTTCTGAGTGATGAAATGTGGTAACACTTCTTCTTTAACTTGAAATCAAAACTACCAAGATTTTATTTTTGTATAATTTAAGGAAGGTAAAGTTAGGGAACTAGAAGACTAAATTGGCTTCTGCAGATCAATGATTTAAATGTAACTGGTTTGTTGGGTTTTATAGTTAAAATTATATTTGTGTATATAACATAACTAATCTGTAAATTGTAATAAAAATATTTGCAATTATTAAATGTTAAATGATACTTTGGTTCAACTTTATATGTATCATAGTATTTTACATTGGTTTTGGAATTACTAATCAGGATTAATATAATTGCAAACAACACTTTAGTAATAGAAGAATTTGGTTCTTGAAGTATTATGAGAGGCCCTTCTGAGAGACTGAAGATTTGATTCTGAAATTGGCCCCAGCTTTTCAGTTCTGCTGCAAAGAAAATAAACAGAAGCAATAACATTCAGATGCTGGGCTCAGCCAATGGTTTAGCAGGGAAATCACTTATTTTGTGCATTATTAGTCATGTTAATCATGGTATTGTAAAATATGATGATCTCTCATTTACAAAAATGGGACAGCTATGGTGGATCATGCCTATAATTCCAGCACTTTGGGAGGCTGAGGTGGGAGGATTGCTTCAGGCCCAGAGTTCAAGACCAGCTTGAGCAACAGTGAGACCCTTTCCTCTACAAAATAAAAAAAAAAGAAAAAAGCCCATGGTGGCGCACACCTGTGGTCCTAGCCTATGGGCTCAGTTACCTGGGAAGCTGAGCAAGCAGGAGGGTTGCCTGAGCACAGAAATTCAAACCTGCAGTGAGCTATGGTTATACCACTGCACTCCAGCCTGAGTGATAGTCTCAAAAAATAAAGTCAGATGGAATTGTGCTTTAATATTAAATACACGGATCATTGAGACTGTCTCAAAAGAGAAAATAAATGTTATAACACCAGAAACAAATTTTTACTCTGGATAAAAAAAGCATTTGGAGGCCGGGTGCAGTGGCTCACGCCTGTAATCCCAGCACTTTGGGAGGCCGAAGCGGGTGGATCACGAGGTCTAGAGATGGAGACCATCCTGGTCAACATGGTGAAACCCCGTCTCTACTAAAAAAAAAAAATATGCAAAAATTAGCTGGGCGTGATGGCGTGAGCCTGTAGTTCCAGCTACTTGGGAGGCTGAGGCAGGAGAATTGCTTGAGCTCAGGAGGTGGAGGTTGCGGTGAGCCGAGATCAAGCCATTGCACTCCAGCCTGGGTAACGAGCAGAACTCTCTCTCTCAAAAAAAAAAAAGCATTTGGGTTATGGCAGCCCTATTAATGGATTAAAGAATAATAGCACTCTGAATAGAAATACTTTCATCTTCCCCGTTAATGAAGAAAAGTTATTAAAGGTTTATTTCTGAACTGGAAGGAAAGAAACTAACATTGAGTTGCAGTTAAACAATATTTAGTATAAAATGAGTTGACATCCGGGTTATTTTATTTCTATCCTGGGGTTAATTGAAGCATATCTGCCATTCACCAGTAATATACATGAAAATACCCACATTTACATTAAGCCAGATTTACTGCTATGCTTATCCTGGTATTTTTTTTTTTTTTTTAAGTGAAAGGTCTCAAATTTTTACTACTGAACCCCGGAAATCAAAAAACCCCTTTTTTTTTTTTTTTTTTGACATGAATAATGGAAGCACCGTGGGTTGTACTAACTAACGCCTTCATAACAGTTACAGAGAGGAGACTGTTCAAACTTCTCCAGATAGCGGTGACATTTTTCAGCTTGATTTGGTAACACGATTGTGACCTTCAGACAGCATAAATATGTGTGCCATCGCGTGTGTAATTTCTTACAGACCAAGCTTGGTTCTTCTCCAGTGTCTCCTTTTGGAGTTGTACCTGATTTTATTACCAGTTTCCATCCGAATCCACTGGGGAATGGGACGATTTTGCTTTTGTTTCTTGGCCAGGAACCGCTTAATCCTGAAAGTCTTGTGAGAAGACATGGGAAGAAACAGAGTAAAGCACACACCACGATGGTGGAGAAAGGAAGAGAGGAGTATCCTGATATTTTGTAGAAACTGTGTTGTTTTTCTTTTCTACTTCAGTAGAAAGTTAAAAGCAAATATTTAATTGCTGACCTCAGAATTTTTTTTTTTTTTTAATTTTTTTGGAGACAGGGTCTTGCTTTGTCCTCTAGGCTGTAGTGCAGTGGTGCGATCTTGGCTCACTGCAGCCTCAACAGCCTCAACCTCCCAGGTTCAAGCGATTTTCCCACCTCAGCCTTTTGAGTAGCTGGGACTACAGATGCACACCACCACACTCGGCTAATTTTTCTGTTTTTTGTAGAGATGGGGTTTTGCCATGTTGCCCAGGCTGGGACCTCAGAAATTTTGATAGTTACTCAGATTTGGGAATTTGGTGTTCTCTGTCATATTCTCATTTGGAGAGTTCATTTGGACTCTATTCTCTGTACCTTTTTTTTTTTTTTTGTCAGTTATCATCAGTTTATTATAAAAGATATGGAAATTATTTACATGATGAAAGATTTCAGAACTTCAGTGGAATGGGCAGCTTCACGTTGATGCCATTTCAATAGTGACTTATTTCAGTCTACGTACTTTCCAAGAATGTCACCATCTCTAAATAGGAAGTAATCCTTGTCATCTAGAACTACTTTGGTGCCTCCATCTTCTGGGAAAAGAACTTTATCTCCAACTTTCACGCTAACTGGTTGAATCTCTCCATCCTTTCCTTTAGAACCTGATCCAACAGCGACTACTGTTGCTTGCAAAATTTTTCCTTGAGATTTTTCTGGAAACATAATGCCCCCTCTGGTTACAGTTTCAGCAGCGCTCCTTTCAGTCAATACTCGGTCAAAGAGTGGGAGAAACTTTCTAAACGCCTGTCCTGCCACGACTCCCTCCGCCTCAGACTCTACTCTGCCCTGGCGCTATTCTCTGTACTTTTTTAAAATAAAAATGGGAAATCTTCACTTTTTCTCATAACAATGCATGTTATTTATAAAAGGGTATAATACAGAGATATACAAAGACATTTTTGGCACATTAAAAAATAATGCTTCCCAGGAATTGCCTTTCTGAGCTGACAGACTTAAATTCTTTTTATCTTTAAAAAGAGGTTTTGAGAGTTATTTAATTATATATATGTTGGCTATTTGAAATCTTTCCTTATGAACTTAGTTGAGTGTTTTGGGATCAACACAAAACACCAATTTTTTCCTTCCTGGATGTGCTCCAGCGAGACTTAAGTCTGTGTTGGTCAGCTGTGACTTTAAAATACAAAGGCATCGTGATACCAAGATCTGTAACTAGCAGTATGGTAAAGAGGATACATCAATCTCTTTTAACCCTGCTGACTTTGAGGATCATCAAGCAGGACCTATGATGCTTTAAACCAATATGTTTCCACGGCAGGTTTGACATCAGAATTTAAAGAGAATGAACTATTCTACACATGGAATGGAGAAGGCGGTTGAGAGCAGGGTTATGTATTACTATGTAAGCAATTTGAGTTACATCAGTGTTTCACCACTGGTAGCCTCCTTAATCTCATCAGGGAAAGACAGGGGAAAGTAGGTTTGTGGAAAGTAGGTGGCTTGACCCAGGGGGAGGATACCCTAGAGATCTAATGAGCCTGAGAGCTGCAAGGCCTGGAAAGCTCAACCACAAGGGAAGCAGCTTCAGAACAATTTTTCGGGTTTGTTCTTTTAATCTTTTACACTTCCCCCTTTATCTCAGTAATGTCCTTTTTCCATTTCCTCTTGCCTTTATTTGCTGAAGATTTTATTTTCACTACTGTTTTATAGTTCCTTACAAAGAAGGATGAAGAACTTAATAGCAAAAGAAGAGGACAATTGCCAGAGATAGAAGAAAGGACCTCACAAAGTTTTTGACTTTCTACCAGAGCTCATTGCACATTTTCCCACTAAAATATTGGGTAAACATTTATATGAAGACTGGATTGGGCAGGGGCAGTGGCTCATGCCTGTAATCCCAGCACTTTGGGAGGCTAACGCGGGAGGATCTCTTGAGCCCAGGAGTTCAAGACCAGTGTGGGCAACATGGCAAAACCATCTTTACAAAAAAAAAAAAAAAAATTAGCTGGGCATGGTGGTGCATGCCTATAGTCCCAGCTACTTGGGAGGCTGAGGTGATAGCTATGACTGAACCACTGCACTGCAGCCTGGGTGACAAAGTGAGACCTTGTCTAAAAAAAGTTGAAAAAAAAAAAAAAAAGATGGGTTAACTTTCAGAAACATCCCAAGGATGTTCAAGGTCAAAGAAAGAGGTGATAGTAAAGCTGAATAATGCTGCTTTGAATTAAACCTTCTTTTTCCTTTTCTTTCTTTCTTTCTTTTTTTTGGGACAGGGTCTCACTGTCACCCAGGCTCTGGAGTGCAGTGGCATGGTCACAGCGCACTGCAACCTCGACTTCCCAGGTACAGACAATCCTCACCTCAGCCTCTCAAGCAGCTGGGACCAAGGCATGCACCACTTTGCCTGCCCAATTTTTGTATTTTATTTCCTTTCTTTTTTTTTTGTAGACACAGGGTCTCACTATGTTGCCCAGGCTGGTCTCAAACTCCCGAACTCAAGCAATTAGCCTACCTTGGCCTCCCAAAGTGCTGGGATTACAGGCGTGAGTCATCACATCTGGCCAAACCTCCTTTTGTTAATGGGGTTCATATATTGGCTCTGAAGGCAAAAACCAGAGGAGTTCCAGGAGTTTTGAAAAAGATTTCCCTGGATATATGTTCTGAAGTGGGTGTTTTTAAAACCGATTTCATCATGAAGGATTCACTCCTCTTTGGATCTCAAATAATCACCTTAAAGAGACCTCTGATCACTCTATCTCCCAACCCTTCCTTTTTCCTCTCCAGTACCTTTTAAAATTATGTTCACTCTGACCTCATCTTGTTAACATTTTACTTGCTTCTCATCTGCTCCCATCCTCACTAGTTTGTAAGCTCCATGAGAGCAGTGATCTTGTTATTTATGAATCCAGAGCCTAGAACTGTGCCTGGTATGTTATAGTCAAGAAATATTTGTTGAATAACAACTTTTTTTTTTTTTTTTTTTGAAGACAGGGTTTCACTCCCATCACCCAGACTGGAATGCAATGGTACGATCTTGGCTCACTGCAACCTCCATCTCCCAGGCTCAAGCGATTCTCCTGCCTTCACCTCCTAAGTAGCTGGGACTACAGGTGGACGCCACTGCACCCAGCAAATTTTTAGCTTTTCGTAGAGATAGGGTTTCACCATGTTACCCAGGCTGGTCTTGAACTCCTGGGCTCATGAGCTGCCTGCCTTGGCCTCCCAAAATGCTGGGATTACATGTGTGAGCCACTGGACTTGACCAAGTTAATAGCTTTCCCAAAGTCACCTCTCTTATCAGCTTTATTGAAGTTCCATCAACACAGCCTTGTCTGACAGAAACAAGTGTGCCCCAATCATAAGATGATGTTGAATCACAGAATTTAAATGTCCTTAGAGAAAAGCCACAGCAAGCTTTAACTAAATTTGTAAAAGTAATTATAAATTTCCATTTGGCTAGGGATACCACATCCATTAATTCGAGTGTCATTAAGAAGACACATTGTTAATTTATGAATTTAATATGTGAGCAAATCAGCTGAGACCCTTCTTTCCCAGAATTAATAGGCTGAATTGGAGTACCAGGGTATTCTTGCCACCACACCAGGGGTTTAAGCTCTTTCTGACAGAAGATTGGCTTTGGGTTTCCAGTGATGTCTGTTGTCTCCACCAGAGAGTTCTCCCCTGGAAATCTAGTGAGGCTCTGTTGTCTCCACCAGATGGCGTTATCTTCCATCTGGGAGTGCCTGATGGACGCCTGTTACACAGATCTGGTGGCTTTTGCTCCCCTGGAGGTGGGTCCCTCAATGTGTAAACAAGCTGGAAAACTGCCCTGCCCTGCCCATTCCAGGCCTGTCTGGCCCAGTGTGACTCCACCTTTCTGTGGTAACTACCCAGAAGTAGGGGCTGTTTCTTACGGGAGAACCAACATTTGTTTTTGAACACAAACAAAGGAACTGATTTCTTTTTGATCAGCTCAGAGAGAGTAAAACGAGCATGGTGATTTAGGAGATTGGAGGTGAGATCTAAGAGACTGGTGTTTGAGGTTTGCTGGGTTTTGTGTGTCAGGGTTTTTCCACTTCGTCTCTCTCTTTAGTTGCCCAGCGTTCAGTTTTCTGTTGCATTCCTGTGCATCAGGGCAGGTGTTCTCAATGCGAGGGGGATACCGTATTGCTTCGGGCATAGAGAATCACTGTGTTTGATGACAGAGTGGTACATGTGACTGGCCTGAAAGGAGGCAAAAAAGCCAAGAACTATTGGGCTGGGGGTTCATGCTAGTGTTGCTGGCTTCCCTCTTGGAGCTAACAGCCAAGGCCAGGTAGATGACTGAGACTCCTGTTTGGTAGGTTGATATTAGCTCCATATGAACTGAAATCAACAAACCTGGATGAGGGGCTGTCCTTAAGCTACTTCCAGGTGTACAGAATGGAAGGCATATAGCATCTGCATATAACTTCCCTGTGCCTGCAGTGACTGAGGCAACTTTCAAACTGTATTATTGTGATGCTTTTTCTTTCTCTTGTTTCTGCTTGATTTGACTGAGTAGACGGGGCAGGGGTTTCTTTTTGCGTCACTAAGAATTTACATACGAGGTTTTTTGTTTTTGTTTTTACCATGTCTAGAAATATCTAAAATGTTTTGTCACATTCCTAGACATCTACCTCTGAATGCATTCTCTTTCCCAGGAAAATTTGCTGCTGAAAGTCACAGCTCAACTGGCCTGGGGTGTAACCCAGTATTCCCTGAGAGAAGGTGCTTTTTTTTTAAGATGAGTTTTGCTCTTGTTGCCCAGGCTGGAGTGCAATGGCGTGGTCTCAGCTCACTGCAACCTCCTGGGTTCAAGTGATTCTCTTGCCTCAGCCTCCTGAGTAGCTGGGATTATAGATGCCCACCACCATGCTCAGCTAATTTTTGTATTTTTTTTTAGTAGAGACGGTGTTTCACCAGGCTGGTCTTAAACTCCGGACTTCAGGTGATCTGTCTACCTTGGCCTCCCAACGTGCTGGGATTACAGGCGTGAGCCGCTGCACCCAGCCGGGAAGGTACTTTTTTAGAGGAATATTGAAATACAGAAGAAGGGTCTTGCTGGGAAGTCTAAAGATGGAAGCAGGTGCATGTTCTTGAAATTAATTTCCCAGGTTGTTTCAAAGGATGACAAGTTATGCTGAGCCCATGTCCCTTCTTATCCCACTCAGCATAGAGCCCTCTGGGTTCTTTGGGAATATTTGTCTCCCTTGATCAGGTTTCATCTCCCCTCTAAAGTCTTCCCTGATGATGACTCCAGCTCTGTCATCTGCAGAATTCTTCATCTTGTTTTCAGTATTACGGTACCTTCTACGCCTTTTTTAGAAGGAATTTTTCTTAGAGACAGGGTCTTGCTCAGTTGCCTAGGCTGGAGTATAGTGGAACAGTTAAAGCTCACTGCAGCCTCAAACTCCTGGGCTTAAACAGTCCTCCACTGCAGCCTCCCAAGTAGCTAGGACCACAAGCCTACACCCCAATGCCTGGCTAATTTTATATTTTTTGTGTAGAGATGAGGTCTCATTATATTGCCCAGGCTGGTCTCAAACTCCTAGCCTCAAGAGATCCTACCGCCTGGGCCTCCCAAATTGTCGAGATTACAGGTGTGAGCCACCTCACTTGGCCCCTGTATGCTTTTTTATCACTGTTCACGTCACATTGAATTTTAATTGTGGTTTGCTCTTTCCTTTCTTCCTCTGTGGTGGAAGGGTCTGCACAGTGACCAGAGTATTTAGACACAAAATACACTTTTCTTTAACTCAAGTGACAATTTCCATAGCCTCTTTTTTCCACTAGACAGGCTCCTTCCTGACATAGCAATTACGTAATTTATGAATTCAGTTCAAAGAAGCAATTTTACGTGTGAAAAGGTCTATGTTCAATGTTTACATTATTTTTTTATCTGTAGTATTTGAGCTTTATTTTTTTTTTTGAAAAGCGAGTATTATTAGTGACGACTTTAAACCCAAGGTTTTAAATCAGTTGATGCAAGGTCTTCATGACTGATCTTTCAAGTGGTAGCCTGAGGGTCACTGAACTGTGCTCAGTGTGATGAAAGGCACTTCATTATGCAGGATAGCATTCATATTCAGTTTTCCAAGATGGTCCAGAGCATTGTTTTTTAACCTCTTTTGTTTTTCCCCGGGCGCGGTGGCTCCTGCTTGTAATCTCAGCACTCTGGGAGGCTGAGGTGGGCGGATCACAAGGTCAAGAGATCGAGACCATCCTGGGCAACATGGTGAAACCCCATCTTTACTAAAAATACAAAAATCAGCCGGGTGTGGTAGTGCGCGCCTGTAGTCCCAGCTACTCAGAAGGCTGAGGCAGGAGAATCGTTTGAACCTGGGAGGCAGAGGTTGCAGTGAGCCGAGATCACGTCACTGCACTCCAGCCTGGTGACATAAAATAAACAAAACAACCCAAAAACTTTTGTTTCTAAAACTGACAAAATTGTATATATTTACTGTCTATAACACGATGTTTTGAAATATGTATACATTGTGGAACAGTAAGTCAAGCTAATTAACTACATATTACCTCACATACTTAACATTTTTTTTGTGGTGAGAACACTTAAAATCTATTCTCAGTGATTTTCTTTTTCTTTCTTTATTTTTTGAGACAAGCTGGAGCGCAGTGGCACAATTTTGGCTCACCTCTGCCTCCGGGCTCAAGTGGCTCTCGTGCCTCAGCCTCTCAAGTAGCTGGAACTACAGGCACCTGCCACCACCACCAGCTAATTTTTTTGTATCTTAATAGAGATGGGTTTCACCATGTTGCCCAGGGTGGTGCTCAGTTGCCTCGGCTGGAGTGGAGTGAGTTGCCTAGGCTTGTACTTCTGAGCTCAGGCGATCCGCCGGCCTCAGCCTCCCAAAGTGCTGGGATTACAGGCGTGAGCTACCATGCGGGGCATTTTTTTTTTTTTTTTTTGAGACAAAGTCTTGCAGCCTGTCAGTTACCAGGCTGGAGTGCAGTGGGGTGATCATGGCTTTCTTCAGCCTTAACCTCCTGGGTTGAGGCAATCCTCCTTCCTCAGTTTCCCGAGTAGCCGGGACCATAGGCTCGCACCACCACCACAGGCTAATTTTTAAATTGACTGTACAGACAAGGTCTCCCTATGTTGCCCAGGCTGGTCTTGAAGTCCTAGGCTCAAGTGATCCTCCTGCCTCGGCCTCCCAAAGTGTTGGGATTACAGGTGTGAGTCACCTCACCCGGCCAATTCTCGAGAATAGAATACATTGTTATTAACTACTGTCACCATGTTGTGCAATAGATCTCTTGAACTTACTCCTCCTAACTGAAATTTTGTATCCTTTGAGCAGCATCTGTCCAACCTACTCCTCATATTTTATTAGCTTATTGAGGTATAATTTACATACAGTAAGTTTCACTCATTTTAAGTGTGAATTCAGTGAGTTTTCATAAACACATGTAGTCATATAAACACCACCACAGTCAAATATGGATCATTTCCATCACCCAGAAAGTTCCTCATGTTCTTTTGTACTCCATCCCCTTCGCAACCTGCGGCTTTTGGCAGCCATTGATCTGCTTTTCTTTCCTTTCTTTCTCGTTTTATTTTGAGAGACAGGGTCTCACTGTCACCCAGGCTAGAATATAGAGGGGTGATCAGGGCTTAATGCGGCCTTATCTCCTGGGCTCATGTGATCCTCCACCTCAGTCTCCTGAGTAGCTGGGACTACAGAGGTGTGCCACCACACCCAGCTGTTTGTTTTTTTTTAATTTTTAGTAGAGACCAGGTTTTGCCATGTTGCCCAGGCTGGTCTTGAACGTCTGGGCTCAAGAGATCTGCCTTTTTGGCTTCCCAGTGTGCTGGGATTACAGGTGTGAGCCACCACACTTGGCCTTTGATGCTTTTCAACACTATTTTAGCTTTTCTAGAATTTCGTAAAAATGGTATCATATGTACAGTATGGACCCTTCTGTGCTGGGCTTCTTTAGTGTCATGGTTTTGAGATTCATCTGTGCTATTGAGTGTATCAGTAGTCCATTCCTTCTGTTGAGTATATCAGTTGTCCATTCCTTTTCATGGCTGAGTAATATTCCATTGTAGAATTATACACTGTGTTCATTCACTAGATAATAAATAGTTTGTTTACAATTTGTGTCTATTATGAATAAAGCTTCTATGAACCGTTGAGTACAAGTGTTTGTGTGGACATATGTTTTCACTGCTTTTTGATAAATCTAGGAGTGAGATTGCTGGATCATATGGTAAGTATATATTTAACAATATAAGAAACTCCCAGTTTTTCAAAGTGGCTATGCTCCTTGGCAGCAGCGTATGAGCCCAAATTTCTCCACATCCTTGCCAACACTTGACGTTGTAAGTCTTTTTAAGTTTAGCTATTCTAGTGGCATCTTATTTTGGTGTAAATTTGCATTTCCTTGGTGTTTAATGATACGGAGCATCTTTCCATATGTTTATTTGCATTGACAAATACCTTCTTCAGTGAAGTATCTGTTCAAATCTTTTGTCCTTTTTTGAAGCCAAATTGTTAGTATTTGTATGGGTTTGTGTATGTGTGTGGCAGATTAAAAACATATTCTAGATCTCAGTCATTTATATATTTTTTGCAGGTATTTTCTCCCAGTCTGTGGCTTGCCTTTTCATTTTTTAAATAATGTAACTTGGAGAGCAGATTTTTAAAAAATTTTGTGGAAGTTCAGTTTATCAATTTTTTTCTTCTGTGGTCCATGCTTTTCCAAAGGTCTTAGAAAATTTTCCCTAATAAGGCCACAAATATTTTTGCTTATGTTTACTTCTAGAAGTTTTGTAGTTTTAGCTCTGACATTTAAGTCTGTCATTCACTCCGAATTAAACTTTGTATGTGTTATGAAGGCAAGGGTTAAGCTTCATATTTTTGCACATGGATATTCAATTGTTGAAAAGACTATCCTTCCTCCATTGAGTAACTTTGGTATATTTATCAACTTTTAATCGACTGTATAGATGATCTATTTCTGGACCCACTATTCTGTTTCATTGGTCTGTGTCTCTGTGCTTACATAAATACCACACTGCCTTGACTACTGTAACGTTATAGTAAGTCTTGAAATTACTTTGTTCTTTTTCAAAATGGTTTTGGTTACTCCTGGCCCTTTGTATTTTCTTTTTTTGAAACCAAATCTTTATTGTCTAAAAATATATATTTTAAAAACCCCCTTCAAAAGATGCTATTCAT